AGTTTTGATGATTTAACAAACTTATCGATCTAACAAGGAACCAAATCCTTGTTATTGGAACTGCTGACAATAAGATGAATGATAAACTCAGTGTGAGGTATATTTGTGTGCTATCATCAAAAAGGGGAAAAATGTTATATTCTAGGTGTTTTGATGATACTCACAAATACGGGGACCTGTTCCCTGGCAGAGTGCTCTCGTCCAGATACGAATAGGGTACATTCATAAAAGTTGTCATGTCAGGTGTAGGTGAAAAGTGGAGTATCCTACACCAATAAGAAGAGCAGACGAGATTGTATGTTTCAGTATGTCACCAATGCAGGGACCTGGTACCAGACAAAGTTTCCTTCATCAAATACATAATTGGTTACAGCTGTAAAGCTGTCACGTCAGAGGTTGGTAAGGCGTCAGTGTACTACACCAATCGGAATGGAGGAGGGTGTTTGTCCAACGGATAATAACTCTTTATGTTTGATACTTTTAGCATGACAAACACCATATTATATTCATTCATCCAAAGAAGGAAGTCAGCCAGCAAGCCTTTTCAAGAACTCATGTAGAAGTTAGCAAGGGACATGGTTCCCACAAGCAAGGGACCTGGTACCCACAAGACTGCGACGTGAAAAGGACGAAAAGAAAGCTGTCAGAAAAGCTGTCATCTCTGATGTGGTAGGTACACAACTTTTCCAACAGCAAGCCTTCAGCCAATGGGATGACTTCAACGAATTTGTGGGAAATTATATTATCTCTTTCCAACAAACACAAATTTAAGACTTGGCAAATTAAACTTGGATTTTCTCTGAAAATTCACAAGCTTGAACAGAAGGCCATCTTCAAGGAAGAACATTTCTCAACTCAACAGAAGGACCTGATAGAGTAAAGAAGAATCTTTGATGTATTTAGAGATTTGTGTCTATGTACTTACATTGTAAATCTGTTCCTAATCTATAAAGGATTCAGATATTTGTTTTGGGTTTATAAAAGTCTAAATCAGTTAAGGTTAACTGATTTAGTGGGCAACATTGGTTTGTTGCTTAGTCAAATTCTAAGTCATCTAGAGTTAGGTGGTTTAGTGGGCGGTGTTGTATCCGCTTAGGATCTTCAAGTAATAGGTAGATTACTTGATCGTGAGATCAATAACTTTTTCTCACATTGATTGTAACCGGGTTTCGCTTTTGCTTGAGAAGATTAGTGAAGACGGTTGTAAATCCTGTGCAACAAGTCGTGGTTTTACTCCCTTGAGCAAGGAGGTTTCCACGTAAACTGCTTGTGTTGTATTCTTTATATTGTTTAATCTTCCGCACTGTTCTTGCTGTGTCACGGGACCTGGTCCGTTGACTGATAGTGGTCGCACAGATTCCAACAGTTACTATCTGAGTTTTGTGAGTAGGAATTGTTCGACAAGTTAAAGAACATTAAAAGATATAAAATCGGGAGGTTTTGTGTTTTGGGGTAGATAGCTCTTAGAGTTTATAATTCCTTAGGTTACATAGCTTTGTAATCGGTGTACTATTTGAAAGTTCATAAATAATACAAGGTGTTGCACGAATTGTTTATTGTCAAGTTTCAAATAAATAGAAATACCTTGTCCGTACGTATTCCTTTGAAGAATTTAGGTGGGTAGAATTCCAAAACTGTATGTTCTAGAGCCATATACTCCATCAAATCTCTCTTTCAAGTCATTTTGAACTTGCAAAGCACTCGAAGCAAAAGCAACACCACTAAGAAGACTTAGATACTGGGATCATTAACCAAGACAACCCAACGACATTTACCCTCTCCCATAGCCCCTATTGTTCTTCACCGTACACATCCTTCCTACAGGATCCATCCACGAATCCTATCTTGTTTCTTCCCAACAAAGCTAGTGTAATAAATCGACTCCACAATGTATTATTCTCAATGCCAAGTAATTGAAAATAGATAAGGCTAACCCCACTCACATCAGTAGGACTAAGAAATAGAGGATGCTTGTAGTCAATACCTTGAGATGATGAGATTGCGTTAGAAGGCAAAGCAAAGGAACCAATAATTTCTCCATTTTGATACCTCGATCTAGTTCTTCAGCTACTCGATCTGGAAACATAGTAATCAAAGAAAAAACGTGTTGCGAAATACGAATCAAACTTAGTTAACAATAGTTGTGAACTCCAATTTGTAGATCAACGGAGAATTCAAATCTGTGAATTAACAAAACAACTCTCTTATTCTTCAACCCAAATTGTCTATCACAGATTGTCACTTTGTATGATACTGATACCATGAACGTAGACACAACTTACAGAGTCTATTGTAAGAGAAAGAAGAAGAAATTTGTTTATGAACTCAAAGGGCTAACTTCTACAATGATAGAAACATGTATTTGTAGTTGTATTTGTAACTAACTCTTCCAAAAGTTAGTTATAACAACTCTTAATAGAAAAGACTATACTACACTTAATCATCGTAACCACCTTTTAACTACTTAATAACCAACTAATCTAATGAAGTCTCGTTACTATTTTTCCAAATATATTTTTCATTTCTTTTATCATAAAAGTATTATATTCCCCTCTTCCTTTTTGATTTGTTTATTTTGATTATAATTTGGATAATCAATTGAAATTTTTGTTGACCATAATTTTTTTAATTACTTATTAAATATTTTAAATTATTAATTATTGTGACATCATTAACGTATAAAACTTTTTTATATAACTCTTAAATATGTAAAGTTTATTTACAAAAAAAAAACTGATTTTTTTTTTAATTTTAAAAATATCACTATAGACATATAATTTTTATTGGATTAAATTCATACAAAATTTAAATAAAATTCATGCTCGTTTGCACTTTACAAATAAATAGATATATTTTATTTAAGGAAAAATCCAAGGTCCTAACCAAATTTTGTCAATTAATTTGTTAGGTACATATATACTTATTTAACTTTCTAATATAAATACAAGGTCTACGGAAAAGCTAATGGGTTGTCCGAACCCATGAACCCCCACCTAAATCTACCTATGGGATCAACCAAACAGAATATTCTTATTTTAATACAGATGAAGATTTTTCATATGATCCACAATAAGTTTACCCATGATACTTTGCTATCCGTTTACCTTGTCTCTTTCGTCAACTCTTTGACATACATTCTTGAGTACTTGTTTGGAAACCAATTTTCAGCCCTGTTGAGGATGGTTAATCCTTCTCTTGTTGCTACTCGTGCTAACATATGATTGTCCGTGGTTTAATTCTGGTATGGAATACACACTTGAACCAGATGAAGAGTTTGTCCTTGTCTCTAACAGTTTGATCTTGACTTGCCGTTCAGCACACTTTAGACGAATATTGCACATAGTTAGCACTGAATTATAGAAACTTAAATGGCCCCTAATATGCAGAGTGAAACCACACTGCACTGTGCAAGGAGAAGTAATATCAAGCTGAGCCTGTATTTTCTACTCAAATCAGTTAACCTAATCAATCTTAGCTTCGATCACTGTCAGATATTGCCTCATCAACACTGTATTTGCTACTTCCATCATCAACATCTCAAACTTGTATTGCTTCGGGCATAATATATTGGAAGTGTTGGAGGGTGCAAAAAGAACCATTATAGTTGTGCATATCATCCTCATTAAATTTACCCATGATCATTTGGTAGGCCAATGGTTATTTTTTTTTATGTGAGAGATGAGACTTTTTCCATGTATGGGTAGTTAGACTTTTGGGTACGTGTTAATATGAACAGATCAATCAAAGAGACATCTGTAAATTTGAAATGTATGACCGTATCAAAAAGACATTTGAAATCTATATACATACATGAACCAAGTAAAGAATTAGGTAGATATACACAAAACCGACCCTATCAGTGTCAATGTCATACTGTTGCCATTCTAATTTCTATCAAGAATTAAAAATGATTTGTGCTGGTGCTCATCATATGGTATCTTTCTAAAGATGAAGTGATACAGCCAACGACAAACTCTCCGTTACTAAAATTTCCATCTCCATCAACATCAGCCTGTAAGAGTGGAGCAGAAGATTAAGAAGGGGGCAACTATAAGTATATCGCAAAATAAATACTCTGATGCCCAACCTTGAAAATTAAGCGATGCATCAAGGGAAAGACATGATGCCAAGCTTTTATATGTATTAACAAATTTAAAATAGCGCCACAGAGTTAAGTTCAAAGATTAATCTGATATTCATATTTTAAAATCTGAATGGTAAATGAGTCACTAAACATTACTTAAAAGAATCATTACATCAACTGAACAAAAAATTAGATGGTCAATAAAAACAATGTCTAAGACTAACAACAAGTTAATAAGAAGAAGAGTGAAGTTTCTGTTAAACAGAAGATCTACAAATTGGACAATTCTTCTTTCCCCTCAGCAGCCATTTCTCTATGCAAGTTGCGTGATATTCGTGTCCACAATGGAGTGTACCAATTGTTTCGTCATTTACATACTCAGATAGGCATATGGAACATATCTCTTCAACTTTATCAGCACAATGATTTCTTTTCTTTACTTGTGTGTGATCATGCAACATAGTATAATCAAATGGCTGTCCACTGAGACGAGTACCAAAGTTGCGATCAAGGTTTTGCATTGCAGCTATTGATAGATTGACATCCTCAGTTGTGACATAGGAATCATCAATATTGAATTGATGACCATACGTATATGGATCCCAGAAAACAGAGTAGTTATTAGGTGGAGCCAAGTGATTACCAAAATAACGATGAGAGGAATTTGTTGAGCGATAATTGTGCGGTTGTGAAAGATGAGGATTTGTGGGAAACAGAGAAGCAACATCATCAGTGACAAAGACACCATCAATGTATTGAGCATGTATGAGAAACAGAGCAGGATCCGAATTCATACTCGTCGTAACAACAAATAGAGAAACAAAAGTGAAATTTTGCTTCTTTTCAGCGATGGCCAAGAAACAAGATTAAGTTGGGGTTCTGCAGAATGAAAAAAAGAAAGCTGCAGATACACAAACATACATAGAGAGAGGAGATAAATGGTTAACGGTAATACAAATTGATACGCTTAACAGAATATTTCCTTAAATAATAAATTGACTCGGTTACCATAATATTTCCTTAATTAATAAATTGACACGGTTACAATAATGTTTCCTTAATTAATAAATTGACACAGTTACTATATGATGAAAGGGCATGTATACAACCTCAACTTTACAATTTGGAATCATTATACACCTATTAAAAGAGTAGAGCAAGGATGTTCTGCTTGTCTAATAAGTGATATATACTTAACTTTTGGTTAATAGAATACATATATTTACTAAATTAAATCACATAGGAGAACCTCAGGTCTGTCTAGGTGACGCTATCACAAACTAAGAATCCCTTTTAATTTATTTATTTTCAAAAATAGTCTTCTCCTCCTCTCAAAAACCCTCAAAACTGTCACCACCATCTTACAAATTAAGTGCAACGACTTGTTCTCGTTGATACTAAAAACCAATGAAAAAAGAATTTTGGCCAAAAATTTTTTTGGATGCGACTTGAAAATTTCTAACCTGGTCCAGAAGTGAAAGAAATATGAGTCATGCGAGGTCTACGAAAATATGGTAATGAATGAAATATTTAATAATGGATTTGATTACATAAGTAGATAGACGTTAAGTAACCTGTACGACTTTATTGAATCGAATTCGAGCTAGTAAAACTCTCGAAACTAATCTTAGCGTGAAATGGTAGTTTTTAAACGTCATGGGTTAAAGGTTTGTTGTGAAATGGGGGTTTGGAACTCAAATTCTGGCTCTCTATCTCCATGTAATCCACTGTGGCGGGAAGGGGTTCGCCGTAGCGGCTTAGTCGCAAATAAAGTTGGGGAAAAAACTCTAAAAACGTTATTTTCCTGCAAGTTTCGTTCTTGAAATTTAAGAGACAGCCTAGATGATTTCTTGACAGTTTTCCATGACTTTTGGTGATAAAGGTAAGAATTTACTCCCCTAATCTATTTTTTCGATTCGTAGAACGTAGATTCTTAGTTAAATATTAAGGCAGGGTTTTGGGCTGAATTTGATAGTGGGAAAAAAATCCCTAGATGCACCTTATATAGGATCATGTATTTGGTCTTGGGTTATTGGGTTTGCCATCATCCGGGTAACTAGACCTTAATTTACTAATCCTTGCATTAAATTCTTGATTTTAGACCACGAACAAGCGGAAAAAATTCGAAAAAAGAAAATTCAAATGTCTTTGGGGGAATTCAAGCTTGGTTTCAGGTAAATGATGGTTTGATTTCAGGTTTGCGCGATGTATATTGGTAATTGCCTCATTGTAATGCATTCATGTATGTGAATGAGGCCTTATTGATCGGACCTAATGAAATTAATATGAACGAACAAATGTATACCATGATTCAATACTTGATAGTATAATTACATGTATGTACATATGAGTGTGATTGTGATTGTGGTTGTGTTGAATGGAAGGGTGTCACGTTCGGACACACTAACTGGGATCATGTGTTACATTTTGATACTTATAATTAAGTGGATGTCACATTCTGACACACTAATTGGGATCGGGTGTCACGTTCTGGCACACTAATAGTTTAGGTATGAGTTCTTGAGAGGACCATTGAATTGTCATATCTACTTGTTATTGAGGATGTGTAATTGTACATTGCTACTGAAATGATAACCAATGTGTATATATGTTTTGTACATGTCATGTTTACTTTGTTGTGAATGCTTATGTATGTGTCGCTTACTGGAATAGTCACGTCATACTTTCAGTACATTGATTGTGTACTGATAATGCAGTTGCTCATTCTTTGTTGAGTAGAGGGCATCTTTAGGCGTCTACTAGATAAACTCACCTAAGAAATTAGTGATCTAGACCTGATTTCAAGGGTGAGCTAATTCTTTCAGGCTACCACGGAGTCCATCAATTTGTTTAGTCCATTATGTTTGGACTTAGACTATTGTTTAGATGTTTTTTTATGTTTGGTTGGGATTGTACCCTTTTCTTAGACTTGTTGCACTTTAGATGTTTTGGTACATTGATTTTCAGAGTTTATGGGAACTCCTGTTTTCTTTAGACATTTAAACATACTTATGTATTTTTAAATGCCTATCTTTTTGTTAAGTTGTGTAGTTGGGTTGTATAATGGTTCTCCCATCGAAGGGCTAGTGTGTGTACCATTCACGACGGTATGGCCCACTAAGACTCCACCAAATCTTCCATATGTAAAATATTATTTTCCTTCAAACTTACTTAAGCAATTGATCGTCATATAGGAATATTGGGCCAAACTTAAGTTTAACCAACTAGTACCAGAATGAAATATTGGGTCAATCTATGTGAGTTAGTTGACTCAGATGTACATATACAGCTATACCTTGAGATTTTTCTTTTTAATTTTGGAACTATGAATGCTTCTCCTTTAATCTTATGTATACTCGCATTGTTGCATGCATTAGTGTTAAAATTCTATTTACATTGATTTGTTTACATTGTAGCAATTAGTTATGCAGCTACAGTGACTTTCATATAGTTAGTTAATTCGTTAGTTTAGTTAGTTAATACTTACTAGTTAGTTATCTCTAATAGTGTGTCATGTAAATAATTAGTTACTCAATATATATAAATGATTGTATTAAAGTAATTTTAGCAGATTAGAATTTCAGAAATCAATAGTATCTTCTTCTCCCTTTCTCTCTAAATTCTGTCCAGATTAATTTCTTCAATGGTGAGTTAATAAACTCATTTTCTTCATGGTATCAGAGCGGGATTTCAATGGAGTTTAGATCTGTTCAAGACGATTGATCATGTGTTCTTCTTCTAGACGAGTTTAGATCTCTTCTGGTTTGTTATTCGAGTTCAGATCTCTTGTAGTTTGTTGTTCTTTGCTGTTTTTTCTTCTCTATGATTCAAAGCTTGATAATGGCTATCTTAAGAATTGATCAAGGTGATCCACTGTACATTGGTCAGTCTGATTCATCAGGAGCAATGTTGATTCCTATCAAATTGACCGAATCTGAAAACTATGGTGTGTGGAGCAGATCTATGAGCATTGCACTTCTAGGTAAGAGGAAATATGGTTTTGTAACTAGTGCTTGTACCAAGGCTCTATACAAGGATGAGTTGCATGAGCAGTGGGAGACCTGCAATGCCCATCGTTTTGTCATGGCCGATGAACACTGTCAGTGAGGAATTTCTTAGTGATATAGTCTATGCCACAACTGCATTTTCAATTTGGGCAGATCTCAAAGAGGGGTTCGATAAGGTCAATCGCATGAGAGTCTATCAACTGCACAAAGAGATCACAACACTTATACCAGGTACAGATTCTGTGTCACAATACTTTACAAAGCTTAGAACTCTATGGAGTGAGTATGATGTTGTGACACCAAATCCTAGTTGCAATTGCCCACAATCTAAAGAGTATACAAATCATCTTGAACAATTAAGACTATTCCAGTTTTTGAGTTGCTTAAATGAATCATATGATCAACCTCATAGACAAATACTACTTAAAAGAGTGTCACCTTCTTTGAATCAAGCATATGCTATGATCATACAGGATGAAATACAACATTCAGCATGATTGGCCAATGTAGTTGATAAATCAGAGTCGATGGTTATGAATGTGAATAAGACTCAAGGAAAGGAATTTTTTAAAGGAAGAAAATGTGAGTAATGTCACTTCACTGGCCACACCAAAGACAATTGCTATAAACTAATTGGTTATCCAAGTTATTAGAGACTAAGAAAGAAAGCAGGTTATGTTAATAGAAGCACTACTAGTAATTCTGGTGGCTTTGGAGGATTGTCATCAACATCTAACAACCATAGATTTGGAGGACAACATGTTGTCAACAATGTGTCTAGTGATTCCAATTCTTATGACTCATCTGAAGTAGCTTCAACTAGTCAAGGAGAAGGAGATTGTGCACACTTGGCAAAGGTATAAGTATTTACTGAGAAGGAGTACAAACAAATACTGGACATGTTGAACAAATAAAAGCCAAGAAGAGTCAACATGGCAGGTATTACAACTTTCTTAATGTTAAAATTTGTTTCACACGACTGGATTATAGATTCAAGAGCAACCCATCACATAACAACATACAAAGAGTCACTGATAAAGAGTCATGAACTGAATAAGTCATAGAAGAATCAGGTACATTTACCTACAAGAGACAGGGTGAACATTAATCATACTGGTGAATCAGTTATATTTGATAATGAAATTGTGAGAAATGTTTTTCATGTGCCAAACTTCAAGTTCAATTTGATATTAGTGTCCAAGATTACAAGGGAATTGTCCTGTTTTGTGTCATTTTATCCTAATTTCTGTGTTTTTCAGGACCTCTTCAGTGGCAGGGTGAAGGGGATTGATAAGGAAGAAGGAGGATTGTATGTGTTCAAAGGAGAATCAACAATAAAACAAAACAAAGTTGGACAATGTAAACAACAAGTAATGGCTGCAGATATGACAGATCAAGATGTTCATATTTGGCATCAAAGACTTGGGCATTGCTCGCAACATGTCATGAAGCATTTAAATCTAGTTCACAGACATAACAATGAAGTACTTACTAGTTGTCATGTTTGTCCTTTAGCTAAGCAAACAAGACTGGCTTTTCCTAGTAGTAGTTCTAGAGCTTCTGCTTGTTTTGATATGGTTCACATGGATTTATGGTGACCATACAAGACTCCTACTCTAGACAAGAATCATTATTTTCTGACAATAGTAGATGACTACAATAGATTTGTTTGGATTCACTTGTTACATTTGATGTTTGAAACCATTGTAGCCATAAAAAATTTTTCTCTATGATAAAAACTCAGTTTGGTGCACATGTTAAAGTTGTTAGATCTGACAATGGTACTG